TTCTCTTCTTTTTAATATTTACAACGCTTTCCCTTCGAAGTACACAATGCTACGCCGACCCCTCGTAGTTCACTAAGTACTAGGCCTACAGTATACAGTTCCCTATATATGTACCTCTACCTACGACCTACTCGTCCCGCCCACACTATTAAGAGGGTTTAAAAGATACGAGAAATTCACGCTAAGATAGCTAACAAACTAGCAAAGGCCTAGGCCTATTAGAAGGCCTACTATAATAAACACTACCTTCTAATAACCTTTAAGCAAGGCGACCTAGTTATACTTAGTACGAAGAACCTCTGTATCCGCAAACACCCCTCGCCTAATAGCAAAACAAGGCCTAAACTCGCACTAAGGTACATTAGCCCTTTCCGTATCTAAGAACCTAGGGGCACCTAGGCCTATTAGTTATAGCTTCCACCTTATTATACTATCTATAACACCTTCTATATATCCCTCCTTAAGCCGTACTACTTGCGCAAAGGGGATGAAGCACCTGCTAAATCCGAGGACATACTAGCTAATAGTAAAGAACTGTAGTCTATAGAACGTATTCTAAAGCACCGGACTAGGCAAGGCAAAAAGGAGTACCTCCTAAGATAGCAAGGCTATTCGCCTAAATAGGACTCGTAGGAAGATAAAGCCTCTTTTAAAGATATAACTAAGTTATTAGATAAGTATTAGACTAGCGTAAAGGACAAGAAGAAGGCCAAAAGCTTATAATGTCCCTATTAAGGCCTAGGACAATACTACCCCTAGGGTGTTATTAGCTAACTAATTAGAGGCCGGCAAACTAGGACAATAAGACTATACTACTATAGTAAACGCGTACCGAGTGTTAACAAGCGCGCTATAACGCGTTAACTATTCGCTACTCTTTTAGGAAACTACCTCTTTACTAACGCGCCCTACGAGGCCCTTCTCCTAGTACTTAAGTCCCCCTTTTGTTCCCTTATTCTATCGAGGCCTAGACAATCGGCGCGGCCGGCGCGGCTATATTAGTAACAGTATTGCGGAGTATGTTGCTACTTAAGAAAGGAAGGACACAGCTATATTAGTAACGGTGTTGCCGAGTTATTATTAGTTAAAGAAGGAAACTAGAAGAAGGTAAAGTTAGCGCTAAGACGACTAGCGCCGCTATTGTTAATATTACTTGCTATTGTCGCTACGCCTATAGACACAACCTTACTTGCACTACGAGTCGGAGCGTACCCTACTAGCTAAGTTAAAAGAATAGCTATATTAAAGGTTTAATTAAAACTTTAATCAAAACTTTAAGCCGCTTAAAAGATTAAGCGACTAATAGACTAGCTAACTAAGGGCAAAACTATAGAGCTAAGTTAGCCGGGGTCGATCTTGCGGACAATAGGTTACTCCTCGATCTATCTAATCCTTTAAGCGAGGCGAACCTTAACTACTATACTTATAATAGCCTTTACCTATAGAAACCGGAGAACCGTGTTTTTTAAAAAGATAAGATAAGATTGACACTTAAAGGCTGCTAAACCTAACTAATTAGGGCTAGTGAAACTACGATAGTAAATAATAGCCCTCGTAATAACAAGAATAATAACCCTTAGAAGCGGACAAACCCTCGGAAGCGGACATTGCTAGGTCTTTTAGAGTAGACGCAAAGAACTCGGAACGACATTACTTAGAGCGGAGGCAGTGCTACAATACCCCGTATACCTACCTATTGTAGTAGGGAAGGTACGCTCGTATTATAATTAGTCGATAGTCCTTAATTCTTATAGCCTTATATCCCTTTACCTTATTATATATAAGGATAGCGCAGTTAGAGTTAGACATTGTGCTATATTAGAGGTAAGGTTTAATATAGTTATATAATTAGTAGTTGTACGTTCAATTTAGCGCGGACTAAGCGGCTTATTAGACCTGCTAAGTTAGTAGCAATAGAGATCGAGGTTAGAATATAGACAGGCTATAAGGGCGCGGCCTTTAGAAGGGAAGCGTATATTAGAGCTAAAGAGGCTATACGTAATTAGTATATAATTAGGCCGAGTAAAGCTAGGGTCTTAGTGCCTTAGGCAGGGCTTGGCGCTTAGCGTTAGGCTAACTAGCCTGCCTTCCTCCCTCTCCTCCTAGATCTCTATCGAATACTACCTATACCTACTACTACTCTATCTACCTACTAATATAACCCTTCTTACAGTTTTATAATTGTTCCTATATATATCCTCTACGAGACAGGTGCGTATAATAGCTAGTATAATATCGATAGTCTTACGCTATATAAGGCTAATAGTTAGTGCGGCGCTTATTCTTTTTTCGACTAACTAGAAGGTTAGCCTATAGGGGTAGCGTTAGCTGCTAAGAGATGCTTTCGGTACTTAGCGGTAGTACGGTCGACTCGGGCCTAATCCCTAGATTTGTCGTATTAGCCTAGCAGATAGCTAGTACTATCGCAATTAAAGCACTTCAATCTAGTTAGGAGGTTGCTATAGCTGCTATTAGTCGAGCGGTTAGCGTTATAAGGATACAAGCCCCTTCTACGGCCCCTATTACGGCCTCCTCTATATAGCCGTCGGCTACGACCTCTTCTACGGTCGTTACTATTCCTATTGTTAGCACTATTGTTTTAGGTAGAACCTTAGTTTCCTCCTCGGCTACGGTTACTACGGTTAGTACTAGCTAGTCGGATCCTCGATTCTAGTTGTTACTAGAGCTAAATAGCTCGTTCGGCTGTTTCTACTTCGACTATAAATTAAATACGTATTAGATTAGCCTGTTCGAATATACGGCGGCGGTCTAATTTAAGGATAAGCTCCTACCTAAGTTTTAGGCGTATCTTAGAGATCTGTATAGAACTAGTCTTAGCTAGAAGGTCGTCCTCGAGGGTCTTTAAATAGGCCTTAAATAAACGAGCCGATTAATTAGTCTTTTGTTTAGCCCGAAGGTACTAGTCCTAAGCGTATTGTTGCCTTAGTATAGGGTTTCTAAGGGTGTCTAGTATAATGGTTTTGTAGGTTTGCTGCTAAATAGCGGTCTAATTAGTAAGGGAGTTAAAGTGGTTATCCTAGGTACGCTTTAGGTCTCTATTAATGTATTGCATAGTGTAGACGACTAGCGAATAGTCGTCTAGTAGGGCCCTTAGTGCATTCCGCTAGCCTAATTCACAATTACGCATATAATTATCACACTGCTTGCGGCTAGAGCTATTAAATACAGTATAGTCTTTAAGCTTAGCATTCTTCTTTTAAATAGAAGGTCCTACTACTAGTTCTAGTCTAGTAGTAGTTGTTAGGGCTTCCTATAGGCGGCGAATCTCGAGGAGGTTATCCTTTAGCTATTATTCTCAACATAGGGCAGTAAGCCTGTTTTGAGTAGCTTCTTAAAGTCTCCCTACTAGTTAAGGCCTAAAGGCTAGTTAGCTATATCGTCGATTAACAATGTTATTAAGAATATCGTTAACAGGCAATTCTAGATTATTACCTAGAATTACAGATTCTTCTCTAGTAGGCCCTACGGTAGGCTCTCTAGTAGTAGGCACTTTAGTAGGAGGCACTTTAGTAGGTACTTCGGTAGGCACTATGCTACTAGTATTGTCGTTGCTAGCGCTACTAGCGGCTCCGCGGTTGTTGTTTCGTAATAAACCGGCTATTATAAGGGATAACACTAATAATATATTGTTAGCCCCTAAGGTATAGATATAGCGGAACTAGTAGATATCGGCTTAGTACGATTAACTTAGTGTAATAGGCCGTATAGAAGGCCTTGCTTAATAATTAGTACGGTTGTTTTAATAGAATAGTACGTATAGGTCCCGTTCTTCGGGCGTAATATAGTTAGATTAGTCTTATACGTAGCTATACCGCTAAAAGCTTAAAATAAGAACTATCTAGCTACTGCCCTTAAAGGGTAGATCGAATACTATATAAGAAGGGTTATGTTAGCAGGTAGATAGGGTAGTAGTAAATTAGTATAGTATTCGATAAGAAGCTAGGAGGAGAGGGAGGAAGGTAGGCAAGTTAGCCTATTACTAAGCGCCAAGCCCTGCCTAAGGCACTAAGACCCTAGCTTCACTTAGCCTAGTTACATGCTAATTACATATAGCCTCTAACACCTGCCTTATATAGAAGCTCTTGTTCTTACGTAGGTATCCCTTAAAGTACTTTAGCTTAGCCTTCTACTTATTGTCCTTATCCTTCTCTTTAACCTAGTTATAAAGGCAGTAGTTTACTACGTTACATTTGCCTCGGTTCTTATATGCCTTCTTCTTACTAACACTAGTTACCTTAGCGTACGTCTTCGGTATACGGCTACTACTACGGCTCTTATTCTTGTTATTATTGTCTTTAGCTGCTTATAGAGCGGCATTAGCTTAGGGAGAAGCGGTATTAGCTTTACCTGTTTCCTCGTAGATAATGCTAAATAATAACCCCTTCTTAGTAGAAGTACCTAGCATATTGCAGGCATATTCCCGTACTATACTAATAAGTTAGAGGAAGTGATTAGTATTAGGTAAGGCCTAATGCATTATATAGAGTCCTTTCCTATAGGTTTTATCTATATTAGTAACTGCTATATAGAGATAGACTACTATATTATCTAGTTCTAAGTGCTATATACGTCTTATCTTCTTGTATAGATTAAGCTACTCCTTATACTACTATTCTAGATCCTTAACTTATCGTAACCCTATTAGGCGAGCTAGTTCCTTACTAACTATTGTTCTTTGCTATTATATATTTAGAGCAAGCTTGTCCTTTAGACGAACGAGTATAATACGCAGCGTTAGTATTATTATATTATTGTTATTAGTAATCTCTAAATAATAGCGTACGTCTATAGTAGTAGCTAGGTATTCGATAGACTTATTACGTACTAACCTAAATCGATTGTATTCCGCTAACTAGGCCCTATAGATGTCTATAGCTATTTTAACTCCTTACTAGTAAAGAGGATTAACTAGTATATATACTACGTCTAGTATAGGGGTTATAGGTTACGCTAGTTCTACTAGTTTATTCGTATATAGATTAGTATATATCTAGGTTTCGTATCTAGTAAGATATGTCTTAGTTTGCTCGAACTAGCGGTCCTAGTCGTTCGGTCCTCGAAGGGTAATATATTTAGTACCGCTAAGGCGACTAGCCGATAAGAGAGCTATTATTAAAGATATACTAATCTTATAGACGCTTATAGAAGCTTAATTAAATAGTGTTTTTAGTGCTACTAAGACTACTAATTGTTATCTTATACTATAGAAGTCTCTAATACTACGGATTAAATTCCGGGCTTATAACTATTACGTATAGCGTAGTAGATTACTTACGTAATACTGCCTTGCTAGCTGTTTAATATAGCTTCGTTAATTGCCTATATTCCTCTTGTTCTATAGTCTAAAATACAGTGTGAAAATCCTTCTCCTGCCAAGAGGTCACGTGCTGTCATGTGACTGAGCTTACGCGTCACAGATGGAAGAGGAGACAGCGCGGCCTGACAAGGTTCGAGCTATTCCTGTTCCAAATTAGCGTGCGGACCCCTACTGAGAAACATCGATCATGCTGTGTGTTCTATCATGTTGCAATATTCATCGATAACTATCGACATGAACGAAGTTCGGGAGTGGAACCTCCTACTCCGTGGAATTTGACACGAGCGGTGATGGACGTGTCGTGGACAGCAGGTCTGATCTCGAGCATCGAACGCAGAGCGCGTGTTGCCCCCACAGGCATGGCCTACTCCTGTCGCGTACTGAGACCTGGCCACACTTTCAGATCCTCAGAATCGCAGTGACCAAGCGGAGGCTGTATCGCGAGCATTTCAAAGCCTACATAAAACATTATGCCACCCAGAAACCTGTCCAGAACAACCAACTCCAGAGATTTCTATGTCCTCTCCCGTTCCCCACATGTATCATGTCCCAAATCCTCGCGTTGTGTTACTATTCCATTCCATTTGCACATTCACCTTCATCCTAGCCTCTTCAAATTCCCAGCTTCTCACTAGCTATCCTAGTCCCCTTCAGTCGATTCGCAATCTTCAAGCCGGCTACCTCCCTCGCCCAATCCGGTCCTCCTTTCCCTCCCGAAACGCCTTTACTAAACCTAGGCTTCAAATCATCGCACCAACCGGCAAATCCACTGTCGTCCGTAGCACCAAGCTGGTCCAAACTGATCCATCTCGCAGCATCGACAAGGACATCAGCAATCTCTTCCGGACTCTCGATTCTTGGATCCGTGGGATCCGTGACCCCGATGAATGCCACTTGTTTCACACCATTCGCGTCTCGTCGGAGAGATTGTCCGATTTGTTTCAACACAGCAGATTTGTCCTTTTCCGAAGTCATAGATATGAGGAAGTACCCAGCATTGATTTTGAAGAGGGCAGGTAAGAGTTTGGAGTAAGGGACCTCGAGACTATGTTGACTGTCACGATCTGAGCCGGGGGAGGTGTGGATTCCGATGTTCGTTCGCTCTACGCTGGTGAAACGCTCGAGGACGCGATTGATGAGGTTTATGAAAGTTGGGAGCAGGTCTGCTTCGGTCCAGGGACTTCGGACGTCTTTTTTGAGGGAGAGACGAAGTTCTTCGCAGTTGATCGAGACGCGTTGGGCGCCGGCGTCGAAGCAGCCTCGAATGTCTTTTACGCATTCGTGGATTAGGTCACGGAGGAAAGCTTCTTTGGGGTAGCCTGGGATCGAGGATTGATGGGGATAGAGGAGGTAGAGAGTGCCAGGTGATACGACTGAAGCCTTCATGAGATGACCCTCGGCGAAGGGTTTGGATTCTTGGAAGTTATCGTAAGCGTATCTTCGATATCGGAAGGGACCACTGATGAGGCGAGGCAGTTGGCGATGATGGCCGTCATCGTAGATGGCGAAGTACTGGCCGTCTAATGCAAGATTATCTGGCATGCCTTTGCCGCTCAGTGTGTCCATGAGAGGATATGTGCAGAACGAAGAGCATTTCTGCTCGCCATCCGTAACGAACATCTCCCCGGCCTGTCCCATCAAGTCCAATGTATCCATGACAGCCCTGTCTTGTGCCGCTTCCAAGCGATCTCTCGATATTCGCCCATACTCAAAGTTCGCATAAGCTTGATGGAGATAGTGTGGTCGAGGCAGACTGCCGACAAGTTCAGTGGGAATCATGGTGGGCAATTGAGTATCTCCCGACCAGTTCGATCCAGGAGAATCTGCTCGGAAGTGCAAGTTGCTATCTGGGACTTGTAATCTCAGCATTTTCCGCCGTGAAGACATAGCCTCAGAGGCAGTTTAGTTTGAAGTGACTTCTCGCAAGCAATGATCTGAAGAGGGCAAAGAACATGGGCATAAAGAATTGCCTTCTCCTTCTCCTTATCATATGCTTTCGCCCCATTGCTACGTTTCGAATTTCCGGAGTACCTTCGATGGAAAGCGCCAGCTCCAGACCTTGAAGAGCGCGGACGGAAGAAGAAGCGACCCCGCGGTCTTGCTGGCTCGAGGCTCGAGGCTCGAGGATGTGGATGGGGTCGGTTGACGATAAAGTCTCGTACCTTGCAGGCCAAGGCGGAAGGGCATGCCTGTTCCCAGCATGGTGCCGGCATTGACGATAGTCTGAGGCTGCAGATCCTATAGGAATGCTCCCACGAGCCGACATTCAGTAAATCTTGTGGTCCATCATTGGCACACGAGCAAAGAGGCTCCAAAGCATTCGCCGTGCGGGTCCTTGTTGGAGCCGTGGTTGTTGCGTCGCCGCGTGGACGTCCGATGCGGTAAGACTGGCAAAGAGTGGCAAGTCGAAGCCCATGTAACCATGCCATGTTCTCTGTTTGGAGCGTGTGGTTGAACCAGCTTGGCTTGGCCGTTGAAAGCACAGTGACAGGTGTGTGTGGCACTGTGACACAGTAGGGGTGCGTTTACTTGTAGTCGGTTTTCTCGTTACTGTAGGTTTGAAACTAACCCTCTTTTTAAAAACCTATTCGTTTACCCTACAAACCGGCAAAAGGAATCGGAACAGGTGTACCTAAGCTAAGCGCGAGCCTACTACTATTATCCGAGCGCGGTATACCTAGATAGATAGGCAATAGATATAGATTTCTATATTTACTTAGAATCGAGGATTTTACTACTACTAGTAATAGCGTATCTACCTCGTATCTCGTACCCTTATCGCGTCTCTTATATCTATATACTACTACTATAATATCGACTCCTAGCTTATTAAATAGTATAGATAATATAGTAGCTTTATTAGTTATAATTAGTACGATTACTAGTACTATAATCGCTATTTCTACCGCTCTCTTAAGACGCCGCTTAAGGCGTAAATTTCGGTAGTATAAACCGATTAGAGTAGTAAAGACTTTAATAGAGCCTAAGAAGGGTAGAAGAGAGGTATTTTAGTATCTATATAGTCCGCTAGACTACTATTACTATATAATAGGCCTATAGTAGGTAGTATTAAAGGATTTAATTAAGGAGTTAGAAAATCGAGGGCTAACTAGTAAAGGGCGTATCTCTACGGCTAAGAAAGTAATAATATTCTACGACTTCGTAAAGAATAACGCGTCGATAAGGCAGCTATAAAGGATATATTAGTACTCGATAAGGATCTTTAATAATATCCTTTAAGAGGTAGTTATTAGGGCTAAAGAGGCTATATACGTAATTAGTATATAACTAGGCTAAGTGAAGCTAGGGTCTTAGTGCCTTAGGTAGGGCTTAGCGCTTAGTATTAGGCTAACTAGCCCGCCTTCCTCCTTCTCCTCCTAGATCTCTATCGAATACTACCTATACCTACTACTACCCTATCTACCTGCTAATATAACCCTTCTTATACAGTATTCGATCTACCCTTTAAGGGTAGTAGCTAGATAGTCCTTATTTTAAGCTTTTAGCGGTATAGCTACAAAAACTATCGATCTAACTATATTACGCCTAAAAAACGGGACCTATACGTACTATTCTACTAAAACAACCGTACTAATTATTAAGCAAGGCCTTCTATACGGCCTATTACACTAAGTTAAGTATATTAGGCCGATACTCGCTAGTTCCGCTACATCCGCACTATAAGGGGCTATAATACATTATTAGTGCTACCCCTTATTATAATCGCTGGCTTATTACGAAGCAACAACAACCGCGGCGCCGCTAGCAGCGCTAGTAACGACAACGCTAGTAGCGTAGTACCTACTAAAGTGCCTACTAAAGCACCTGCTAAAGTGCCTCCTACTAAAGAGCCTACTAGAGGGCCTACTAAAGAACCTATAATCGAAGGGGATAACCCCTCGTTGCCTATTAACGACATTCTTAGCAATATTATTAACCGTCGATATAACTAACCCGCCTTTAGTCCCTAGCTAGTAGCGAGACTTTAGGAAGCTACCTAAAACAGCGCCGATTTAGAATCGCTAGAAAAGAGGATATTAAATATATTAATACTAGCGAGTGCCCTAACGATATTAGGGTCCTATTTATTAGCAACCTAATACCTGCCTTAGCTAATCCTATAGCTAACCTTCTTAGCGGTAATAACGATAAACCTGTGCCCCCTAATAGTATAGACCCTAACTAACTCGCTCGCATCCTATAGCCTATTCGCGAGACCTATATTAACGTATTTAAACACTACCTAGCATCGACGTTGCCTATATTTAAAGAAACGGACTATAAGATCGATATTATATAAGGCAAGGAGGTTCCTTTTAGTCCCCTCTACAACCTTAGTAAACGAGAGCTTGCTATACTACGTAAGTACCTAGAGGAAAACCTAGCTAATAGCCGCATTCGGTATAGTAATAGCCCTACTAGTATACCTATCCTATTCGTACTAAAGAAGGATAGTAGCCTGCGTTTATACGTTAATTACCGTAGACTTAATGCTATTACTATTAAAGACCGCTATCTACTTCCGCTTATTAATAAGACTCTCGATCGCCTTTCTAGCGCCTATTTCTATACTATATTAGACATTAAGGATACGTACTATCGTATCTGTATTCGAAAGGGCGATAAATAGAAAACAGCCTTCCGTACTCGCTATAGCTATTTCGAGTACTTAGTTATACTATTTAGGCTAGCTAACGCCCCTATAACATTCTAGTCCTATATTAATCGGGCCCTATTAGGCCTATTAGATTACCTCTGTATAGTTTACCTAGATAACATCCTAGTTTATATATACTTACCTAATATTGCGGAGCACTAGGCTATAGTCCGTAAGGTGCTCGATCGCCTAAGAATATATAGCTTATATTGTAAGCCTTCTAAATGTACCTTTGCTACTAAGGAGGTATTATTCCTCGGCTTCCTCGTATTAACCGAGGGTATTAAAGCTAATCCTAGTCGGATTACGACTATTACTAAGTAGCTAACGCCTACTAGTATTAAGGAGCTTTAATTATTCCTAGGTTTTACTAACTTTTACCGCCGCTTTATTAAGGGCTATTCGAGGCATATAATGCTACTAACTAAGCTTACTAAGACTAAGGCAAACCCTTCTAGAGAGTTCAAATAGACTAATAGAGTATAAGCCGCTTTTAACGGTCTAAAGTAACGCTTTACTAAAGTCCCCCTATTGCACTATTTTATACTAAGCAAGCAGATCCGTATTAAGACTAACGCCTTATAGTTTGCTATATTAGCTATTATATTACAACAATCGGACAAGGACTATTATTAGTACCCGATTGCCTTCTTCTCGAGGAAGATAATTAATACTAAGCGTCGCTACGAAACCTACGAGTAAGAGCTGCTAGCTATTATCGAGGCCTTTAAGTATTAGAGGCACTACCTCGATAGGGCTTAATATACGATTGTAAGAAGGGTTATATTAGTAGGTAGATAGGGTAGTGGTAGGTACGAGTAGTATTCGATAAGGAGCTAGAAGGAGAGGGAGGAAGGCAGGCAAGTTAGCCTACTACCAAGCGCCAAGCCCTGCCTAAGGCATCGAGACCCTAGCTTCACTAGAGCCCGGTCACATGCCAATTACGTATAACCTCTTTAGTCCTAATATACGCTTCCCTTCTAAAGGCCGCGCCCTCGTAGCCGGTCTTTGTTCTAGCCTCGACCTCTATTGCTACTAACTTAGCAGGTCTAATAAGCCGCCTAGTCCGCGCTAAATCGAACGTACAACTACCGATTATATAACTATATTAAACTTCACCTCCAACAACATAATGTACAACTCTAACTACGCTATCTCTATATATAATAAACTATAAAGTGATATGTATCTATAAGAATTGAGGGCTATCGACCAATTATAATACGAGCGCGTCTTCCCTACTGCAATAGGTAGACGTACGAGGTATTGTAGCACTGCCTCCGTTCTAAGTAATGTCGTACGAGTTCTTTACGTCTACTCTAATAGACCTAGAAATGTCCGCTCCGAGGGTTTATCCGTTCCGAGGGTTGTTCTTATTATTACGAGGGCTATTATTTACTATCGTAGTTTCGCTAGCCTAAATTAGTTAGGTTTAGTAGCCTTCAAGTGTTAACCAATTATATCTTTTCAAAAAACTTAGTTCTTCTAGTTTCTATAGGTGAAGGCTATTGTAAGTATAGTAGTAGAGGTTCGCCTCGCTTAAAGGATCGGAAAGATCGAGGAGTAACCTATTGTCCGCAAGATCGACCCCGGCTAGCTTAGCTCTATAGTTTTGCCCTTAGTTAGTCTATTAGTCGCTTAATCTTTTAACTTAGTTAAAGTTTTAACTTGGCCTTAAAGTTTTAATCAAACCTTTAACAGGCTCAAGGCTTTAATCAAAGTTTTAATTAAGGGTGCCTTAGGCTCGTAGTATAGGTAAGGTTGTGTCTATAGGCGTAGCGACAATAGCAAGTAATATTGACAATAGTAGCGCTAGTCGTCTTAGCGCTAACTTTACCTTGCTTTCGATTTCCTTCTTCGACTAACAATATACTCGGCAATACCGTTACTAATATAGCTATGTCCTTCCTTTCTTAAACAGCAATATACTCCGCAACACCGTTACTAATATAGCCGCGCCGGCCGCGCCGTTACAAGCGCGACGCCGTCCTTGCCGACCGCCTAGGCCCCGAGGCCTCGACAGAATAAAGGAGCAAGAGGGGGACCTATAGGGCGCGTTAGTAAAGAGGTGGATTCCTTAGAAGAGCATACAATTAATTAACGCGTCGTAGCGCGCTTATTAACACTCGGTGCGCGTTTACTATAGTAGTATAGTCTTATTGTCCCTCGTTGCTAACAATTGCTTATAGCTAATTAGTTAGTTAATAGCACCCCGGGGGTAGCATTAATCCTAGGCCTTAATAGTAACATTATAAGCTTTTAGTCTTCTTCTTGTTCTTTACACTAGTCCAATACTTATCTAATAACTTAGTTATATCTTTAAAAGAGTCTTTAGCTTCCTACGAGTCCTATTCAGGTAAATAGCCTTACTATCTTAGTAGGTACTCCTTCTTGCCTTGCCTAGTACGATGCTATAGGATACGTTCTACAGACTATAGCTCTTTACTATTAGCTAAGACTTCTTCTAACTTAGCAGGCGCTTTATCGCCTTCGCGCTAGTAGTATAGTTTAAGGAGGGAGATATAGAAGGTGTTATAGATGGTAT